TGGTGGTTGAAGAAGAACCTGAAAGATTCTATTGGCCACTGTTCAGAGCCGGAAGGATGTGCATAGCACCGCGTACACTACCACACTCAACTGGGGTAGAGTGGAGCTCCAAATGCAAGTGGACACCGGATCCCCTGTGTGCATGATTGCAGAAGAGACCTATAGGCGTGAGGCACATTTTTGGCCGAAGTCGGCTCCAACAGACAAAACTCTATATTGTTACACTGGGAAACTGCCTCTACTGGGAGTTTTGAAGCTGGTGGTGAACAACCCAACCGGTGAAACCGAAGGGGAGCTGTATGTGACAAAGTGTTCCAGCCCATCCCTCTGTGGTCGCGACATCATCCAGAAACTGAACATTCTTGGACCGAACAGCATCACCTTGGTGCAGGTGGACACTTGCACTTAGGAAACAGTGACAAAGCTGAAGAGGGAATCCAGCGAATCGTTCCAACGTGGTACGGGGTTGATGAAGGGGCCACCAACGGACATCAACTTGAAGAAAGAGGTAAATCCGAAATTCTTCAAAACACGCTCTCTACCTTATGCCATACGTGACAAAGTGGCTAGGGAGTTGGACTGGCTGTGTGAAGAAGGTATCCTATCACCGGGCACCCACACTAAATGGGCCACACCAGTGGTACCAGTGCTCAAAGGGGATGGCAGTTTGAGGTTGTGTGGTGACTTCAAGGCCACTTTGAACACAGCATGCGAAGTAGACCAGTACCCACTGCCTAAGGAGGAGGACATGTTCGCCAATTTGAAAGACGACTATTGGTTCACGAAACTGGACTTACGGAAAGCGTACTGCCATGTGCCGTTAGATGAAGAGTCAAAGAAGGCAGCAGTGCTAAATACTCACAATGGACTGTTTTCGTACGACCGTTTGCCTTATGGAATAGCATAAGCACCTGCAATTTTTCGGAGGAAAATGGAGGCAGTGCTCAAGGACATTCCAGGTACACAGGTGTTCCTGGATGACATTTTGGTGACTGAACGCCAGCATGAGTTTGGCACCACCCTACGGAACGTGTTGTCAGCTCTCCCTGAAAACGGTATTAAGCTCAAAGAGGAGAAATGCATTTTTGGTGAAGGAGTGAACTACCTGGGGCACCAAATAGACAGAGAAGGTCTGCATGCCTGTGAAAAGAAAATCAAGGCCATCATGAAGGCACCTGAGCCACGCAGTGTACAGGAACTTCATTCATTTTTGGGCCTCATATCTTACTATTGGAGTTTCTTGCCAAATATGTTCACTATGCTTTCTCCACTCCATAAGCTTTTGAGGAAAAGACTCAAAATGAAAATGGGGCCAAGAAGAAATGGCTGCATTCAGGGCAATCAAGAAAGCACTGCAATGTTTAAACCTACTGGTCCGCTTTGACCCAAACAAGCAAGTCATCTTGGAATGTGACGCATCACTTGAAAAAGTGGGAGCAGTATTTTCACACGCCATTGATGGGGTGGAACGGCCCATTGCATTTCGCTCACGAACACTCACAAAAGCACGAAAAAACTACTCTCAACTTGAATGGGAAGCCTTAGCACTTGTTTTTGCAGTCGCGAAGTTCAGGGTTTACCTGCTAGGTCGCTTGTTTGTTCTGAAAACAGATCATGAGTCATTGATGGTGTTATTTAAAGAAACCAAGGCAGTACCTGCAATGGCAGGAGCAAGAATCCAGAGATGGGTTCTTATCCTAGGAGCGCATCAGTACACCATTAAATATAAACCGAGAACGCAGAATGAAAATGCCGATGCCCTCAGTAGGCTTCCTGCAGAAGAAGCTTAAGACACAAACTGTCAGAGTGAGCAAGTGCTGTCAACAAGTCTTCTGGACATCAGCCCGCTGTCACGACAGCAACTTGAGGAGCTGACCAAAAAATACTCTGTGTTAATGGAAGTTCGCCACCAAACTGAACAAGGATGGCCAAGGAAGGTTAAAGATAGCAAGTTGCAGCCTTTCTAGCGGCTACGACAGGAACTCGCAGTGGACAGTGGACTGATCTGCCGCGGTGATCGTGTGGCGATTCCTCAGCAAGCACAGAGGGCGTTTCTGCTAAAGCTACATGACACACATCTCGGAATAAACTCTACAAAAGCTCTGGCAAGGACACTCTTGTAGTGGCCTGGCATAGGGCCGGAGGTCGAACAACTCTTGCATGAATGCAGTGTTTGTCACCAAGCAGCAGCAGTGCCTGTATCTAAGGAACCTTTGAGCTGGCCAGCCACAATGCAGTCTTGGACTCGTGTCCATGTTGACTATGCAGGCCCAGTGGAAGACAAGATGATCCTGGTGATTGTGGACAGCCATTCCAACTCCATCAGCTATGGCAGTCGCAACAGTAGAACACTTACGAACTGTGTTCGGGCCTGCCTGTATGCCTGGTGACGGACAATAGAACGTCATTCACTGGAGTCGAATTCCAAGACTTTGTACGACAAAATGGAATACGGCACATTCGTACAGACCTTACAAACCACAATCAAGCGGTTTGGCTGAAAGAGCTGTACGTTCCATGAAAGAAGGTCTAAAGCCTATCACCGGGGGAAGCCTTACCACAAGATTGGCCAGGTGGTTGCACATTCACCACAGAACACCATTGGGGCAAAGGACATCTTCACCAGCAGAACTAATGCTTTCGTTCACACCAAGAACCAGGCTTGATTTGACCATAAGAGTCACAGAAGGGCCTCACATAAGTGCCATTGCCAGGAAAGACAAGTGGCTACCAGAAAGATGACGAAGATGTGGGGAATGACCCCAGCAAGTCCATGCCAATCAGATGAAAGGGCGCCTTTGATGGGCCGATTGGTTGCTGTAGTCCCGCTGGTCGTGAAGGCGGAATCTTATGTCGCTGACAGTCGCGACATGTGCGAACGTAGTGCTTCACAGTCTTTGCAAGACGTGGCCAGTAGTAGAAGCGTCGGATCCCTTGCAACGTGCGCGTATAGCCGAGGTGTCTGGACGATGGCTCATCATGACACGCACGTAAAATGTCACCACGATGCGTAGTTGGCGCAACAAGCAGATACTTAGCTTGTGTAGGATTAAAGTTATTTTTATAAAGCACTCCATCGTGGAAACAAAAGGAGGATAGTGAGCGTGCAAAGCTTCGAGGAGGGTGAGAATTGCGTCCTTTGAGGTAGTCGATGAGCGGGATGAGCTCTGAGTCATGACGCTGTCGCTCAGCCAAGCGGGTCGCTGATATGACAGAAAGAAAAGTGTCGTCGTCTTCAAGGTCAGTGTTGGCATTTTCTACCGGTGCACGTGAGAGACATGTGGCGTCGGTGTGTTTCCGTCCAGTTTCGTGGACGATGGCGACATCGAAATCTTGTAGCCGAAGGCTCCATCATGCTAGACGACCTGAGAAATCTTTGAGATTTGCGAGCCAACAAAGGGAATGGTGGTCGCTAACTACCCTGAATGGGCGGCCTTACAAGTATGGGCGGAACTTTGTTATGGCCCAGACAACAGCGAGGCATTCCTTATCGGTTGCAGAATAGTTTTTCTCCTCTGGGGATAACATTCTGCTTGCATAAGCGATCACGCGCTCTACGCAATTATGCCACTGAACTAATACCGCTCTTAGTCCAACGTTGCTGGCATCAGTGTGTAATTCCGTGTCGGCGCTTTCATCAAAATGACCCAGTACAGGCGGAGCCTGGAGGAGGTTTTGGAGGGTGTCGAGATTCCAACAAACGGAGGGTGTCGGAGGGAGTCGAGACTGATCGAGACTCCAAACAGACAAGACACCGTCTTTTGTAAGCTGGTTGAGGTGTTCAGCAAACTTCGAAAAGTTTTTGACAAAGCGCCTGTAATACGCACAGAGCCCCAGAAATTAGCATAGGTCGCGCTTATTTGTGGGCACGGGAAAGGTGGAAACAGCGCGAGTTTTCTCCGGATCTGGGCAGATGCCGGCATGGCTCACAACATAACCAAGGAACTTCAGTTCTTTATATCCAAAATGACATTTCTCGGGTTTAAGGGAAAACCCCGCTGTTCTGATTGCTTGAAGAACTGCCTGAAGGCGTTGGACATGTTGTTCAAACGTGTCTGCAAAGACCACGACGTCATCAAGGTAAACAAGACATCATTGCCAATCGAGCCTCGTGAGGACCGTATCCATCATTTTTTGGAAAGTAGCTGGCGCTGAACATAGACTAAAAGGCAACACTTTAAACTCGTACAGGCCATCGGGAATAATAAACGCCGTCTTTTCGCGGTCGCGCTCATCCACTGCGATTTGCCAGTAGCTGTTACGCAAATCCATGGAGGAAAAATATTTAGCGTTGCGTATACGGTCCAGTTTTCTGCAAAAACTTTGGTACTGGTGAACCGTGGCTACAGGGAGAGATGGTTGAAGTGCAAGGAAATCGCCTCTTGGCAATGAAAACTCAAAGAGGGATTCTTAGACGACATCTGGATCAGATATGCCGGAGGCACACAGCAGACCCAACAAGTTCCAAAGTGCAATCAAATGAAGACCCACCAGAGGAATTCTTCCCCGAATGGCAGCGAGAAAAACCGGTGCCAATTGCTTCAGCTCTAGCAGAAAAGCTACCACAGCAGCACCCACATGTTGTGAAAAACCGACCACAGCGCTCTCGCCGACCTCCAAATCGATTAGACCTTTAAGGGAAGTTTTCGTGTAAGTGTGCGGGGGTGTGGCGACTGGCATCAATGTTGATTGAATGGACCTAATGCCCTGGCAACCCAGAGCGTGGAGGGCGCGCACCTTCGTAAATGGTGTCTACCCGCATATCCACCATGCGTGCGGTTTTCAACAGTCAATAAATGTTTGATGTTTGTTACAACGTAACAAATCCTTTCAGCAATCGTCTGATGTAGCAGGATCAACTCTTAGTATCTTCCTACATGAAGAAGTCTGAATAGGCCTCGAGGTACAGCCTATTTTAAATCTTAGCTTTCATTACTTCAGTGGTACGTGTAACCACAAACAAGTTAAAGTCAAGAGTGGATGGAAAGTAGAGCCCGCACCTTGGCTCTCAGGTAGGGGTCTGCAGGCAGCATCCTTGGCTCCGGATACTTTTCTTCCAAGTACTCCATGATGGCCACCTGGGCACTGACACATTGATGGCTCGTCATCATTAGTGACAATAACACCGAGTGACACCTTCGTTCTCTTTCAAGCACTTCTGTCAAGCACTTTCGGTTTCGTGAATATCCCCTTAAAACAAACACTTTAAAAAATAAACTGCTAGATAATCAAAAGTTCAGATTCAAGCTAACAGTTGTATTGAATACACATGACATCGTCTCATAAGTTTACTTAAGACATCAGCCAATTAACAAGCAGGATGTTTAATAAAAATAAGAACTGAATGAAGTTCACTGAAAGAGCAGACACTTTTTTTGTGAGTAGGTTGGACTGTCACCCCACCTGGTGAAGCAAATGTCAACTGCGCGCCTATTTTTACATGGCCTCCGAGATACGCCTTGGCAGCATGCTAATCTCAAAATTTACACAAGGAATACACCAGGGCACACAAAAGGTGACAAGCGAGTGCCGCTACCAGACATCCAAGTCAAGAATTAGCATCGACTTCAGATTTTGTTATCTTTATTACAATTCTTCTTGGTGAATCATTTTTGGAGGTGGAGGCATTATGTGCACTCGTTAATTATCCGTGCATGTCTCTTCTAGCAATCATTCCAGTGTTCTATTTTTTAACATTGCTGAATTTCCAGTCAATGTCTTTATTAATGCACATGTAACAGGTCTCTGTGTACACACTTGGTCATTCCAAATAATTGAATTTCAACACTGCATTAAAATTTATTGATATCCTAGCTTGCAAGCTATGTTGGGGCCAATGGAATTAAGGTTAGAAAAGACTGACTACTGTTATACATCGTTATATGTTGGCTGAATTGTTTTTTATATTCATAGATATTAGCACCATACTATATCCTCAGGTCTTCTTTTCTTTGTAGAAAGCACACTCTAACTCAAACAATAAAATTTGCAACATTAACCCCTTCAGGCGTGAATTATGATGCACTTTCTGTAAATGTGCCAAATTCACATAGCATAGTTCAAAGGCCCTAAATGTTACATTAGAGGGGAAAAAAATGAAGGTCGCTGTTTGTGAAATGCAGTAAATAATGTTAATTAGTGGGTAAATAAATAACAGTATATACAATCAGCCAGCTTCAATTATTGCATAAGAAGAATAAAATAGTGCACATACTCTGTTCACTTTTTTTGTTGTATTCGTTTAGAGCAAGGATAATAAGAGTATTGAAATCGATCCTAAAATGAGCAATGTCAAACGACCGCCAAAAATGTTAGCGTCGACAGCAAAGTGATCCTCTGCACCAATACGCAGAAGAATGAAGTTTAATGACTGCTTGTTGTACACTCAGAAATCGTGCCCAAACGTGCACGGGCCGTTTCGAGCGATTTGCAAAAACACGCCATGCTTGACATCCCTCCACATTTGATGTATATAATTGTGCACACTGCCACTGAAGGGGATGAGCACAGGTGTGCCTTAAAATGCTTGATTGGCAATTTAAATGCTGACACATCAAATACTTATGAATAGAAATTTTTAAGGAGCATGAAAAATAGTTGACAGTACCGATTGGCTGATGGGCTTTCCATCAACGAGCAAGACAGGAACCTGGCCCATTGGGTTCATCGCTTTGAACTTCTCCGTCCGCTGAAAGCAAATGTGAAATAGCAAAGCATTGGGATTTGCTTTAGCACAACAGATTTTTGCATAGTAGTCCATCCGTGAACACTACAAAAATAAGTGCTGAAAATAGACAAGTTAATGGCCTCGTCAATTTTCAGTAATTATTTTTTAAGTGCTTCGAACTTGCAGTGCATAGCGCTTGAAAAATATAAAGGGCTTCTCACCATCTCACATTGCAAATTTTTGTTATATGTTGATCAAAGCAACCTAGTGTGCTTGAAGACAATCGGTTTTGTGAAAAAAAGAGAAAGAATGACAACTTTTTTTTTAGGACCTCCATGTTGGTTAACAATAAAAAACAAGGCCTACTCTTCAGACAGGCCTAGAAAAGCTCACGGTGTTCGAGCAGTGCCTTCATCTGGGGAGCAGTGTATTACCGTGAATCTAGCCCAACAAAACAAGTAAAGGGACCACAGTCAAGATATAATTTGTTTTCAAGCCAACTTCATAAACAAACACTTTATGATGTTGATAGCTGAGTGTAAAGCCTCATTTGCAACTGTGACTAGCACCGGTCGCAGGACCATATTAGTCACAATGCGACTGGTCGCAAGTCACCACTTCGGTCGCAAAGCAACTGTTTTGGCTCAGTCGCTCGCGGCTCGATTTGTCAGTTGTGCTACTGCAGTGGCAAACCTTTTGAGCCAATCACAAGCTCGGAAAACAGATGTATGTCGGCTTATTCTATGGGACAGTGGCAACGCGAGCCATATGGGAGTAAACATGAATTCTGTGCAGCAACATGTGCAAAATCGCATGCAAGTGAGAACGTCAATTGTCTTGAGTCGCTTTTTGGTTGCCATTCTCAAACAGTTGCGCGACCAGTGCAAGTTGCGAGTGTAAATGAGCCAGAATAAAAAGCACCATCGCACTCTTTCACGACAACAGGCTGGCACGAGTTTCTCTAGCCTGAACTTGTGCTACACTCAAACCTCAATATAATGAATTATTGGTTATAGTGAAGTAAGTGACCAAAAGCTTCACCATAATGTTATAAATATTTGTTTATAACGAATTTTCAGATATTACGAAGTATCTTCACGGCAAATGCGAGTTCGTTATAATGAGGCTTGAGTGCAGGTGTGTCGAACGACCGATAGTGTACAGTGACATCCGGCGGCAACACCGACCAACTGGAACTGTTTTCATGTGAGCTACTTGCATCTCTCTATTTCTTCCTCTCCTGTTGTCTGTTTCAGCCCTCCACTTTTGTGTAGGGTAGTGCCTAAGCACAACTGCACCTAAGTGGTGCAGTATGTGTCACTATGGGAAAGGAAAGAGCTCTCACATTAAACACCGAAGCACTTCTCACAGAACCTGCAGTTGTAAGTTGCTTGCTTATAATCTGGTGAGCAGTTGCATCACTTTAACTTTTATGCCATGTCACTTTTAACACACACCTGTCACTCCGATGTGACAGGTAGCATCACCCGGCTTTACCCACCAGTTAACCGCTCTGCCTTTTCTCTCTCCTCTGTTCCTTCTCTCAATTTTTGTTACAAAGTGAAAATCCTACAGTGTCTAAGAAGCATATCAGTGTGAAATTTTTCTTTCAGTTTCCTTCATTACTAAACTAATGAGAAGGACTGAAATTAAATGCCTTGTTGTGTATATGGACAGTGTCCTGCCTTGTCTCAGCTATGCTAATAGAATTGTCTGCTCTCTCCCACAACTCCTCGTTTACATCACAGAGAACAGGCAGAGTCAAGCTCTTGTCTCAAGTCTAACATCATATCCTTTGCCAATCATTTCATTAATGCTACTGGATGTGCTTTGTACTGTGCCGAAGTGTCCTCAAGCTGGACAAAAAAAATGTATGATAGTAAGCTAAGTACACCCAACAGCAAAAGTTTATGGGTCATTGGCTCCCCAACAAATCTGAATTTCTTCTCTATTAGTGCAAAAGGATTCCAATCTTTTGCACTAATAGAGTTGCAACACTAACTATGGGCGAGGCCACATTATTTGGAGGTCATGTTCACAGGTAAAACCAGAACGTAGCTGACTCGAAACATTTCACACCCCTACAAAGTTTCGCCATTGGGTGCACACAGGTACTGCTCAGTCAAATGACAGAAATATGAGTTAGCGAACTGAGCTGCTGTAAAAGTCACTTCTTCATAACTAGAGGAAGCCTATTTGAACAATTTTTTTATTCGCATGGCATCAGAGGGCTCATGGCGCAAATACAAGAACTTGATTATTTTCTAGCTCGCCTCTTGTTGGTAGACTGAGGAATAACATATCGCTCTCTGCCCTATGTAAAACATCACATGAATAGGTGTCAAATAAAGAAATCGAACTGAATTGAATTGCATTCAATCGCAAAAGCATGTTTTCCTTTTCAATTCCACAGGATGAGACACTAACTTTATATCTACAGCTTCTTCGTTGAACATCTCATGGGCAAACTCGGCCTCAAGGAGTCAAGAAATTGCAATGTAAGCTTAGAAAATACAGCCACAACATCTTGTTCCCATAACTCAGACATCATAAAGTGTGGCTGATGAAGTTAAGCAGGTCACACCTTTAAAAGCTGCTGCATTTACAGCCAATCAAGCAGCATGTACTTGCCTATTAATGCAGTGAAAAATGTTAGCTTCCAGTAACGCTTCAAATAAAATCAGAATGCAATGCCAATGTCAAACTTAAAAAAAAAGAGATAGTGGAGTTCATCTAGAAAATTACCTCAGTTTGACGAAAATAAAATATAGGAACAATATATGTATCAAGGCTTTTTGTTTCTGCATATGCGACTGGCGCAAATGCTACGAGTATTGCTTGATAGCAAAAAAAATTGCACTGAACTTGCTGCTTTCCAAATGCTTGACAAGGCATAAAGCATGTACTGCAGCTGCTTTCCATTGTGTTGCAATTCAAAAGTGACTCCGTCAAGCCTACGGTGCCACTGACAGACAAACGCGTGCGCCAAAGAAAAAAAAAGACTGTAGCCACATTCCTGGCTCAGCAAATAACGTCTTGTGATATGCTTCTCACGTTGGAGTGCCCAGGCACTCAGCTATTATCTATATAAATGGCAAAGTGTTTCTTATCAGAGAGTCTCGCGCTGTACGTGCGCACACAAAAAAGGCACACTCTTGAGAACCCATTGCAGGACTGCTGAATATATTCGCTTGAGGGTCGAGAAATTGAGTTTGATAAGATGACAGGGACAGAGAGATGAGGTACTGAAATTTAGACTGGCGGCGCAAGCAGGAAGAAAGATGAAGGGAAACAATAGTGTGACTATGTGGTACCCTGCTTATAAGAGACATCTCATATAATAGACAAGAAATGCTGCCTGGAGCATGCCTCTTATGAAGGGGTTTTAACTGTAGTCTGCAAATAAGTGGAGGTGAGGTAATACTGTATGTGGGGTTTTACATCCAGAAACCAGAATATGAATATGAGGGACACCGCAGTGGAGTGCACCAGAAGTTTCGGCCACCTGGGGTTGTTCGACGAACACCTAAATCAAAATACTGAAGCCTCTTGCCTTCTGCCTTTATTGAAACGCAACCACAGCCATAGAGTTTCCTAAACTTAAATGAAGGGGACTCTGGCACCCCGATTGTTCGTAGACCATCAGAATTATGGGTAGTGCACGGATTTGCCTAGTCTTCATACTTGCAGGCGGCGAATCGCACTTGTGGCTTCGTTTATTGCTGCGTTTCAGTTTCGTCTCGAAGGAAAAAACTAACCCTTTTGAACTCCGTGACCAGAATTGAAATGGTAAGCTTAAAAGATTAGGGTGGTGAAGCGCGATTGCTGAACATTTGCCGACTGTTGTCTCGTGACAAAGCAGCAAAAGGAGCGTACCATACGAATACTAGGCAAATCTGCGTACTTCCCATAATTCTCATGCTCGCTGAAGTGTCTTGCGTTGAAGCTCCCATAGACTCTAGCACCAGAGTTCCCTCTAGTGTATATTTAGGAAACTATGACCACAGCGGATAGCATTCAGTCCTGTGACCTCCGGATCAGCAGTTGAGTACCTTAACCACTCTATCACCATGGTGGGTAGCGTGATAAGGCAGTCTAACTAACAGTGAGCCACAGTGGTGCATCATGACGCTTGTTATAAGAACAGTGAACAGTATGCTAGCCAGCTGATAGCGAGCCTGCACCACTTTACTTAGACAACAAGTCATAGGAGACTCATTAGCATTTACACTGACCACTGCAGTCACTTTTTGATGGAGTTCTTTTCGATCCGCAATTAAGTATGCCCACCACTCGCGCCTACGATAATCTACGACATTCTATTCACAGAGGGTGAATTAAATTGAAGTGCTACTTACGCACTCAAACTTCCATTACAGCCATTATTATACATTAGTATTCATGCGACATCAGCTTAGGCCATTTTGCTGCACGATTCGCAGCTTCTGCAGAGTAGATAGATATACAGATAGACAAACAAGGGCAGCTTTTCACTGTGGTGAGTGTAGAAAGGTGTGGAAGCATTGAAGATATCCAGGCGTACTTCCCTTATATGGCTACCCTTTTTTCTTGTATTCAATCATTTACCCTAAGGGCCCAAACACTTTGCAGAGGGTGGTTGGATTACATATGTATGGCACTCCCAGAAGGCTAGGCAGTGCACACACTTTCACTCCAGCACCTACCGGTCCTTTCATAGGAGTCATTTCGACTCGCACACTTTCATAACCACCATAGCTAGCCAGCTGACTAGCAGCGACATGATGCAGTAATCATGTGAGTATTTGCTCACAGCAGTGACTACACTAAAGAGAATGACAACACATTTCGATTCAATGAGTGCCAGTATGTTACATATACCGAAATAACAGAATAAATATGAGCAGGTTAATAGCCACAAAACAAGAATAACAAACACAGGGAGCACTAATATCGTAAAGATATGGAATTTGCAAAATAAACAGCCCCGAAGGAAAGGCAGTGCAAATGAAAGTAACGAAAATTAGGAAGTCCGATAACATACACCCATCACAATAGTAAGAGTCTTGGTAAATGCACACCGCATAGGCGGCTCGAACATTCAGAGGTACTAGAAACAAGTGAACTGGCATACTGGTCCAGTTTAACAAGAAGGAACGCCAACTTCGGACAAAGTGTGCTGAACAGTATAGGCAATAGTAGCCAGGAACCAGCGGCGTAGCCTAGGTGGGAGAGGTACACCCCCCTAAAATCTTTCAATTTTGCTTGTGTATATATGCTTACACACATAAATACATGCACAAACATACATGAACTATCGTTGGACATCCCCCTCCCCCCAAAAAAGGAATTCTGGCTACGCACCCCTGCTAGAAACATGATGTTGAGGAAAGGATCTGTGTATGGGACATTGTGGAAAAGACACAAAAGAGGCGTTAACCTTCAGCCTGATGAGAATGGTAGGCATAGGGTGCTTCCCATGATAGTAACACTGGCAGCACAGTGACAGATGGAAAATACTTAAATGCTCAGTTTTATAGACTCAAGTTCAAATGCTAGTTATAGAACGCTAGGGTCCCAACACATGCTCCATATTAAAACTTAGAATGGACAACTGCTTTATAAAAAGACATGTACTAATTGGAATGAAAGGATACATTTTGATGCAAGTAATTGGCAACAGTTTCAGCGTTATGTTTCCGAGAAAGGTTGGAAGCTAAGGCATTTGCACGAAGTGGCAGTTCCAAGAGGAGTACCACCGAGACCACTTTCGGTGAACAATAGGTTGCTCAATTTCTGTCTACGTTTACAGAGACTGTTTCCTTATATACAAACATTCCTACTGCTGGTAAAGTTACATGCGAAATTTACCCCAGTAGCTAAACCCACATGGCTCTTAGGCAGCGTAAACCACTGGAACCCAGCTTATACGGGTCGAGAGCAGTGCAAAGCTCTCTTTCGTACACCTACATACCTGTTCGCCATGGCCTGGCCTCAAGTCCACCACCCGGTATTCGAAGTCGATCTTCTTGACTTCAAGAACTGCGATAAGCACAAGCACAGTTCAATCATCACGATGCAGACACCCGCCATTTAATAATCGTATTTGGCGCCACGCCGCAAGTGTGCCACGCCTACGATCGCGCATGAACGAAAAACGGCTCTTCAGGCTCGCTTTGTCGGCAAGACTTCTCTTTGCAGTTATTCGCGCGGTTCGTTGTTTACATTTCGAGCTATTCGCAGTCGCGCTGTCCAGTAATGAAGTGTTTGGAGGGTCATAACTCAAAGTAAGGAATGCGCGGCCACTGCGGTAATGAGAGGCAAGGTAAGAAACAAGGAAAACTCACCAATGCGTACGCGCCAGGCGCAGGAACTGAGATAGCAGGATAGTAGAACGGGCTGTAATTGAAAACATGGTTTATTTGTCATCCGCTCGCTTCGTACCTTCTAAAACTGATCAAAGTATGCTGTACACTCACCTTCGACATGGCGAGCGCGTTTGAGCCGAGCGAAGAGCTTCACACGAGTACGCGGAAAAAGTTGGGAACTAACTGCTGAAACTCTGCGCACTTGCCGGTTGAGCTCGCCGAACACCTGTTGCTGTCGGCTTGCAAAGTGTATACATTTTTCTCTTGTTTCGGTTCTTGCTTACTGCAGCGAGGTCCTCTACCGTGGTCTGCAGAAAATACATTTGTAGTCTGCGTGCCCTTCGAGATTAATGCGACGGCGTGATGCGCATGCACTACAATTTCGGAGGCAACGATGCCAATGTGGCGCTAGATTTGAACATCGTTCGATGTGCTTTCAAACTGTGCTTCGGAAATCTGCGTATCACGAGGATCTACATGCTCCAATTAGAGCAGTCATGTACGAGAGAAGGCAAGCGCGTTGATAGGTACGTGTTAGTTTTGTGGCAAGGGCGGTCGATCTGCTCACGATAGAAAATTTTGAAAAAAGTCTTGCTGCTGTGAGGCAGTCTTACGGCTGTAAGGTATGTGACAAACGGTAGACTGTAGTAAAGTTCAACTGAAATAAACATCACGTAAGCATGTCGCGCACTTGCAACATACACACAATAAAACATGTCACGACTGCTCATGCTTGCCGTACACGTACGGCTAGACGGAGATAAAGAGTGTTCCTTTGTCATTGATGTTGAGGAAGAATGCGCTAACACATGTGCCTCTTTCTTCGTTTATACTACGAGTAACCCCCCCCCCCCCTTTTTTTTTGCTATAGTTTCTTCACAGCTTTTTTTAGTAAACGCGTGGCCATGAACCCCGGAGTGTGAGCCTAAGGTTTATCCAGAGACAGCTTCCGGGTTCCAAGAATCCCAAACGCGTCGATCGACACATGCGCGTGAATAAGCAGAAAAAAAAATGATATGATTTATTAAATATTGCATGTCGCTCATAAATCATTCTGATAAATGAGGCACGCAATTACATATCAGGTGATACGTGATTCATGTTGTTTCGCTACACACGCGCAGAGTTTTAATGGCTTGTTATCCATATGTTCTTTCTTTTTCGAAAATATATTATGGGGCCGGTGACCTCGCGGTGGGACTTCGCCATTTGGTGAAATCGTGGTCAGAGAAACCGACATGATTTGATTCTACTGTCCGCATTCTAACTCGGTTGCGCTGCTATAGTCACTCCACGGTGCACATCTAGCAAAGCTCGCGATTCTGCTTCAGCGAAGTGCGATCTGTACGGCCTATTGGTTTTTCGGGTCCCTGAAAAGGTCGAACGTGTTGGGCACTCCAGTCGGCGGTGTGTCTGGCTGACACGACGGGTCCGCCTCCTTGACGAGTGGGTGCTGCCGAAGCGCTTCGCAGATACGTCGTACAGTTGGAAACGGCGTTACGTCGACGCCGATGCGTTCTGCGTTGTGAACTTGCGGCAACAGACAGGCATCGGCGAACGTCACCTCATCACCGAAGCAGTACCGGCCGGCTGTCTCTGCAAGGGTGGCTTCCAGGGCTGCAAGTTACCATAGAGCAAAAGGTTAACATTTGACACACTTCAGTCTAGTTGGGACGCAAATAGCGTTTGAAAAGGAACGCCAACCAAGGTGTTGAATTATACTAATAAGTTATATTTACTTTAAAATGATAAATCCCGATTTTCTTCAACGATGGTACGTGTCCTTCTGTGTTTCAGTAACGCTTTTTCAGCATGCCAAAAAAACATTGCCAATCAATAGTCGAAGCACCCAAAAACATGGGTGCTGGACGTAACAGCACAGCACGCGGCCTAGAATTTACAAATTAATTTTCAAAGTTATCGAGAAGTCACCCCCTTTTCTACGTACAAATGACGTCATATGTACAGAAGTTACGGCGCAATATACAAAGCTCCGCGGTCATTGGCTGATTCAAGCATCGTGAGCTGCATGATTACTTACCGTGGCCACCACGGGATGCCGCTATGTACCTACTGACATAAGTAAGCCATTCGTTCGAAAAAAAAAAAGCATTCAAATAACGTGCTCAATGTCAGGACATGCGCTGACTAAGGGACGCATCATCTTGCTTCCCTGTCATCCTCCTTCCTGCTTAGCTTTCAGCGCGCTGTCTGGTACGAAAGGAGAGAGAAAGCGCCTGACGCGTGCGGAAAATCCCCGCAATTTTCTTCGCACTTGACGTATACTCTAAAATTATTTGTGGTATAGTCGACTCGTAAGCAATAAGCTCTTGTAATAAAGTGATAAGACGATTACATGGAATCGCATTTATTACATATGATTACAGGGCCCCTTTAAAAGACCCGTGCAACAATTTTCCGCGTAATCGTGAGCGCACGTGGTGATCTTGAGTCATTCCTTTCTTTCTTCAAACGCCCGCGCGTCCGTGGCGGCATTCCGCGGCTTCCAAGGGAACTATGCAGCGCACAAAGCTTGAATAATCCCGTGGCCGCGAGCTTTGAATGTACGGCGCGGTCATTTGGCTTTGTGGTATTGATTGTGGAGATGATTCTAGCTGGCTTTGGGAATCATTTGTGGATTCCGGGCAGCGGGCTGCGCTCTAATGCTTTGCTCGCGTGTTATCAAGAGCATAGGCATGCGAAGGGATACCCTTCAGGGTGGGGGGGGAGGGGTAAGGTTCGTCACAGCATCCCCCCTCCCTATTATATTAATGTAGAGGGCTGACTTTGCATCTCTACCCCTCTCTAGTGACATAGGCCACTCCACCTGCTCCTCCCGTGATCACGCCTATGATCAGGAGCCTAGACTTTACTGTCCTAGAGAGAATCCGGGTGAAGGTGGGCGGGTCCGCTAGTCCAGGGCCCTACATGGCCTTTGTGACTCGCTGGGCCTGATGGAGCACAACAACTTGGCTAACTTAGTCCTCGATCCCAGCCAGACGTGACCCACTGTCTCTCAAATGGGTTTCCCGCTAAAAAGGGAGAATTAATTTGGGGCACATTCCTCAGTAAGCGATAACTCAAGGCAGGAGGGCAACAACGTTGGGCTACAGTGGAATAACGATCGAGCGACGACGCAGGACTCTTTCTCGATGAGGTGCCGATCGAACCTGATTGTCGCGTGTGCACGTATACACATTCTAACACAAACTTTTGTCAGGCGCTATCATTATCATTTGGTCAGAGCTATTTTACACCTAATATCCATGTAGAGAAAGGAAAATGGCTGATCTAAATCAGGCCCGTAGCCAGGAATGTTTCTTTTTGGGGGGGTGGGGGGAGGGGGGTATGAGTGCACGGGGCGTGGAGTGGGACACGCTGAAGGGCTTGACTGCTTGAGGAAACCATGCCATTTTTGTAACCCCCCCCCCCCCAACAATGAAAAATTAACGGGGGGACAGGTGCCAAAGCACCCTCCTGGCTACGGGGCATTTCCCAAACTGCAGCGAACAGATTTGCCGCACGTGTTTCGTTATAGACAATGCAGTCTGTAATCAAATACACATACATCCATGATCCATGGCTTCCTCAGTCACCTACCTGCAAAGCCACGACTGATGCTGCGGTGGGCCCACTCCTTCCATTCTGTCCTGCCGAGAAATGGAATCATGCTGGGGCTCTGCAGAGGATGAACTCCGGAAACGAGTAGCTCCACAACCTCACGACACTGTACAGAAGGTACGCGTGCTGATCTGATTAATTTCATCATCATCATCATCATCATCAGCCTGACTACGTCCACTGCAGGACAAAGGCCTCTCCCATGTTCCGCCAGTTAACCCGGTCCTGTGCTTGCTGCTGCCAATTTATACCCGCAAACTTCTTAATCTCATCTGCCCACCTAACCTTCTGTCTCCCCCTAACCCGCTTCCGTTCTCTGGGAATCCAGTTAGTTACCCTTAATGACCAGCGGTTATCTTGTCTACGCGCTACATGCCCGGCCCATGTCAATTTCCTCTTCTTTATTTCAACTACGATACCCTTAACCCCCGTTTGTCCCCTAATCCACTCTGCTCTCTTCTTGTCTCTTAAGGTTACACCTACCATTTTTCTTTCCATTGCTCGCTGCGTTGTCCTCAATTTAAGCTGAACCCTCTTTGTAAGTCTCCATGTTTCTGCTCCGTATATAGTTAGTACCGGCGAGATACAGCTGTTATATACCTTCCTCTTGAGGGATAGTGGCAATCTACCTGTCATAATTTGAGAGTGCTTGCCGAATGTGCTCCACCCCATTCTTATTCTTCTAGTTACTTCAATCTCGTGGTTAGGCTCTGCGGTTATTACCTGCCCTAAGTAGACATAGTCTTTTACAACTTCAAGTGCACTATTACCTATCTCGAAGCGCTGCTCCTTTCCGAGGTTGTTGTACATTACTTTCGTTTTCTGTAGATTCATTTTAAGACCCACCTTTCTGCTCTCCTTGTCTAACTCCGTAATCATGAGTTACTGCTATCATGAGTTACTCATGAGTTACTGCTAATCATCAGTTACTGCTAATCTGGGTTACTGCTTGCTCTTATAGTATTAAGGTCGTGGTTGTCTCGGCTACTGTACAGATCTCTGTAAAACTCCTCCGCTATTTTAACTATTCTATCCATATTGGTAGTTATTTTGCCTTCTTTGTCCCTTAGTGCATATCCGACTTTTGCCTATCCCAAGTTTCCTCTTCACTGCTTTGACGCTTCCTCCGTTTTTCAGAGCGTGTTCAATTCTCTCCATGTTATACCTTCTTACATCGCATACTTTACGTCTATTAATCAACTTCGAAAGCTCTGCCAGTTATATTTTGTCTGTTGTACTTGACACTTTCATGATTTGACGCTTCTTAATTAGGTTCTTCGTTTCCTGGGAAAGCTTGCCAGTGCTGAGCTACCACAGCAGCCTTCCCTGCATTCACTTTTTTGGGTTTATATGTGAATTTAGAAGTAGGAGTGTCAGTTAGCGCTATCTATAAGCCAAGCGACGAGCGTGAAACACTCTTTATGCGCATATGTGGCGTCACGTGGCGTCATATGTGGCGTCACACTCCTACTTCTAAATTTACATATAAACTCAAAAAAGTGGATGGAGGGAAGGCCGCTGTGGTAGCTCAGTGGTTAGAGACGGAACGCGTTATTCGGAAGTCGTAGGTTCGATTCCTGCTCACGGCCGGTTATTTTTTCACCCACTTTTCTTTCTTATTTACATTCCGTTGGTTCTAATAACTTCCCCTGTACATTCCTTGGCATTACTGTCTGTTAGATCTCTTTATGTATATATATATATATATATATATATATATATATATATATATATATATATATATATATATAACACTTTTTCAAGTAACCATCAAATATGCCTTCGGTAAAGCAGTTCATTGTCTCACGAATCGACGGCCGCAAGAACATTAAAAATCCTTCAAGTGTGAGAGGGGTTAGAGATTCACCCCAGACTATAAGCGCGCTCTTTCTTTTCATATAAGCGAGCACGCCCAAATATATATATAAATATATATATATATATATATATATATATATATATATAATATATATATATATATATATATATATATATATATATATATATATATATATATATATATATATATATATAGTGGTGCCACAAAACCTGTCATCCCCTCCTCGCTATCGCCGTCTTTCATCTTCTGCTGCGCTCTGAAACGAACGGCCGAGAAAGCGATCGCGTTTCGAAACACATGCTCAGGATCAGATTAAGCAGTGCACTTGTCAGAATGAGAGAAGGGGCCCTGCAGCACCTTTAGGCCTAGTTGCCATTTGGATTCACAAGGGAACCTATTGCATCACGAATCCACGGCAGCAAATCTTTTTACAATCCGTCCAGTATACGTACGAGCATAGTAAGATTGATGGCACGGGGAGAGAGAAAACGTCACGTGTGCCTTCTGAACTTGGACCCCCCCCCCTTTTTTTTTAAGTGGTGATGCTCCTCGTAGTATAACGTTGTCGCGCGTAACCGAGAGAAGAAGAGACGAGAAAGAAAAGAAGGCAAAAGAAATGGATGACTTTTTCTTGTCTCATTTTCTAGATGGCGTTACTGTGCCGCTACTCTCCGATTGGCTGCTGCGCGCGCTTTGCCTGAATGTGCGAAGAACGAGTGCCTTTCTCATTCTCCTGGATAGTCATCGTACGTGGCGGATCGTTGGTGGGGCATGGACGAAGCAGAGCGGTGGGCGCGTTGAAGGCGCTTGCGCTCGGCTTCCTTGATTCGTGTCTCGTCAGTGTTACCTGCGCGCCATCTGCATTCTCGAACGTGGACAGACGCATGCACGGACGGACGGACACACGGATGGGTGGACGGACGGACGCTTCGCCCCACTCATTATCACTCACTCCGTGGATATGGTTTGATTTTTTTCAAATACACGAATTTTCAGTGCGATCGCGCGCGCCCGCGCGTACAAGACGCGGCCTCAAGCCGTGGTTCCTAGTAATGACCGAGCGCGCTATGCTCAAATCAGCCAATGGCTGATACAAGGGCGGTGACGAGTGATTTTTTAGCTGCTTACATCATTTGTCGGAAAAAGAGAAAGCGGTGTTTAGCTGACTTTGAGAATTTATTGTGAATTCCGGCCTGGCTCGGAACCTTTACTACCGATTGGCAGTGTTTTCTGACCATGCTCAAAAAGTGTTGCAGTCTCTCCCCCACCACCCTCTGCAACGCTTTTTCAAGTAACCATCGAATATGCCTTCGGTAAAGCAGTTCATTGTCTCACGAATCGACGGCCGCAAGAACTTTTAGAATCCTTCAAGTGTGAGCGGGCTTAGAGATTCACCCCAGACCTTAAGCGCTTTCTCTCTCTCTCCATATCAGCGAGCACGCCAAAATATATGCGGGGGGAGAGAAAAGAGAAGAGGGGTGTTACTAGGGGCCACGCAAGAAGATACGCCCGTTGGCTAGCGCGTCATGACATTGCGTTTTTTTTTTTCGATCGCACTGCTGCTTACTTTCAGATGTGACCGCGAGCGCTGCCACGAGCGTCATCCCGCGGTGGCCGCGAAACTATGCAGCTCAGGAACGTGGCCTCCGAGATGAGCCGGTAGCGCAGGGTCACGCCACCGGCAAATCTCGGGGGTCATGCTCACGACACTCAATCAGCAAAAGGCAGGTAGAACTTTGGGTATATGGCGCGGTTTTTGGCATCATTTTCTGAGAGATGAGAGCAATTTGTAACTGACGGAGAATCAAAATCGAAGGCCGCGTGCTACGCTAGAATGTTTGGTTCACGTGTTCTCAGAAGCCTCCCTCGCAGTATCGATAAGTAGCTCTCGCTGACCATGGTAAAAAGATATTGCAGGGTGCCCATAAAGCAAGCGACAAATCATTGCAACTCGGAAGTTCTTGACTGATTCAAGATCTATTCCCGGCAATCAGTTCGCAAGATTGTAAAAGTGGGGTTCCGAATGAGGCGGCATCCAGAATGGCGAGCGTAAGCAGTGAGCTTGATCACAATTGATAACTGCGAAGTCATCTTTGTTCGAAGCCGAGACAATCAGAAATGCAAGACTTTTGGTATAATGGTGGTCTTCAATCTTTTCGTACTGGCATGAAAACTTGGCATTCCGTTCTTTCCAAGGAGCTGGTGTTACCGCGTTTCTAACACCAGCTGGTCTGTGTGGAACTGGCACTGTAAAACATCAGTATAATGATTATTACACGCTGAAAAAAAAAATGCCAACACCGTCTCCAGCGGGTATACTTTGTTGTGCAAATTAAGGTGCGACGAATGTAACGGAGCGCTGTCAGTGATATGATAGTTTAGATCCTGAAAAGCTTGGTGCTTACCTTGGCCTTCAGGTAAGGGTCCATGGGTAGCATCGCTGGCTTGGGATACTGCTCCTCTAAGTACTCCATAATAGCCACCTGTGCAACGAACGTCAACATGCAGCCCAACAGTGAAACAAAGAACATGTAAGCCACGAACTCTGCAGTCTATGAACTCAGGCCGAACCACGAGTCACCGACTCGATCGAGACTGCAAGTCTGAGTGAGTACGACTATGTAGAAATATGGTGACTCAGCAGGTCAAGAAAGTTCGTGAGAGTCTGAGTAAGAGCAGTCGGAAGGAATTGCCGAATTTTGCGTGACGCAGGCTAAACAGAGTTCTGACAAGTTTGAGTGTGAGTCTGACTGAGTAAGATTCTGGCTAGTGAGTTCAAATGAACTCAAACACACACACAAAAAAGAATTTGTACAAGTTACACCTATTTTCCCCATGTAGCATGTGTTAGTCGAGCTTACTCGCAAGGCCATATTGCACTGCACCGTACCAGACGATCCATCTCTTTTTCAGAGTGATTACTGATAGAGACCTTTTATATGGAGCCCCACTGCCCTTACCTTAGTAAAGGATCTCCTTTCCATCGTTGACGTAATGACGTTAATTTTCAGAAAAAAATTGAGGGCACATCGGTTCGTTCTATGCTACAGCTCTACAGAATGCAGTATCTGAGCTTTTTACGTTACAGCTTGCCAATTCTGGTAGATACACGCAAGACAAATGTTCACACTATCTAAAGTTTTCAAGGTAAAGTGCTGCACACAGGCATACGATTACATGGTGCACCTTCACTAACGATAATGTATAATAATCACCAGAGAGCATCCGATTCCTACATGTATCACTGTTGGCAATCTATGGGCTGACATTAAACATCTCTGCGAAGTCCCTGCTCATAAGCTTGGCCCTTTCAGAGGCGGTAAGATGAATTTTTAAAGATTCTTATCACTCTTAAAGACTGCTTAACAGCGCAAACGACAAAATGGGATAGAAGAGACGAGACAGAGTTCTGACCTTCGCAAGAATCAATAAATTGTTGGCAGTTCAGTGCTCTGTCTGGTCTTTTCTATCCCCTCCTGTCGTTTGCACAGTGAAGCACTATTTATCATGTTATACCAACACGCCCAACCATACTGTCTCTTATCACTCATGGAGGCTACCTTTCATAGGGTTCTGCACCAGTAAGCAAGACCACCGTCACCTGTATGGCACCTATGACAACCACAAGTGCACTTGAAAATTCCAGGAGTTATGAAAAAGCTGTCATTCAGGCCCGTTTCTTTGACCAATGCTCACTGTGAATCATTCTAGCACATTATTCTTAAAAAAATTATTACTTAGAAAATGACCAGCTGCTTTATGCCCTGTAATATGAATTTAGGTCTGTTTGATCTGCAGTTACCCAACTGGCTGAATTAAGTGACGAGGTAATTAGCATTCTGGGTATGAAAGGTCAGACCAATGCCATTTTTTCCTCCACGGCATTTAATGTCATTCCCCGTCAGGATTTAATAACAAATTTATTACATATAGGTATTGAATGGAAGGTTGTAGCATGTGTATGCTACTTACGGAACAGAAGAGAGCGTGTTGCCATAAATTACTGTCGCACAGAAGAGTTGGCAGAGTACTCAGGTGTTCCACAGGGCTCAGTCCTTGGGCCTCTTTTCTTAGTTTATATTAACGATATTACAGACATTAATGCTCCACAAAAAGATGAATATGATTTAACTATTTGCAGATGACTGCATATTATACGCAGTCATAATTAAGAAGACCATATTAAATTCATGCAGCAACGTTTTACGCTCAACTGACAAATCGTGTGCAAAGTGGGGATTAAAAATAAATCCATCAAAAACAAATTTCATTACATTTGTGAGGAGGTTTATTAGCCGTTATAGACAGCGACGATACAGCGTCAAGAACCGTCCAGCGATCGGCACAGCAACGAACCGAAGCACGAGCCGAGAGAGCCAGGCGTTGGCGATGCTGCTCGCTGCAGGCACATCTTCTTCTTCACAATCGCCCCCGCTGAAAAAGGAGCCATCCTGGCGACTTAAGAAGTTTCAGGCAAAGGCTCATGGTACGGTTTCAGTCGGGAAACATGGACGATGTCACGTGCACGCCGGCGCATGTCGTCCGATCGGGAAACTGGTTCAATTAGGAAATTAACCGGAGAGGTTTTCTCCAAAACGGTGTAAGGCCCCTCGTACCGCGGGACAAGTTTCGAGGAGAGTCCCGGTGTTTGGTATGGGATGGCAAGCCACACAAGAGACCCTGGGGCATAATTGGGATCCGGAAGAGAGGTGCTACAAGTTTCTTTCTGGCGTTGTTGTTCTTCCGAGGTGAACGCACGGGCGAGCTGGCGGCACTCTTCGGCTTGTCTAGCAGCATCGGAGATAGGTGGACACTCGGAAGCATCAGGACGGTAAGGAAGTAGGGTATCAATTGTATGGGAAGGCTCACGTCCGTAAAGAAGAAAGAAAGGTGAGAATCCCGTGGTGGATTGTATTGCGGTGTTATATGCGAACGTGACGTATGGGAGAACACGGTCCCAGTTGCTGTGATCAGATGCCACGTACATTGAGAGCATATCACCTAGCGTGCGGTTGAACCGTTCCGTTAGTCCGTTAGTCTGCGGGTGGTATGCTGTCGTTTTCCGATGAATGACGTGGCATTCCGAAAGCAGAGTTTTGACGACCTCGGAAAGAAAAGCGCGGCCTCTGTCACTAAGGAGCTCTCGAGGTGCACCATGTCGAAGAATAAAGCGTTGCAAAATGAAAGAGGCGACATCCTGAGCTGTAGCGCTCGGCAAAGCGGCTGTTTCGGCGTAGCGTGTCAGGTGGTCGACCGCCACTATAATCCACCGATTACCATCTGGTGTCAATGGAAGGGGACCGTAGAGGTCAACGCCGACGCGATCAAATGGCTTGGCAGGGCATGGAAGTGGCTGCAATGCGCCAGTCGCACGTGGCAGTGTTGATTTACGTCGCTGGCAGTCAGGACAGCACTGCACGAATTTACGTACAAAATTGTACATGCCGCGCCAGTAATAGCGATGGCGAAGGTGTTCATATGTTTTGAACACTCCGGCGTGGCCACATTGCGGATCGTCGTGAAGGGAGGCGCATACTTGCGATCGTAAAGTGCGTGGAATGACCAGCAACCACCGGCGGCCATCGGGAGCGTAGTTGCGTCGATGAAGAAGTTGATCGCGGATGGCGAAATGGAGAGCTTGACGTCGGAGGGATCGAGATACTGGAAAGTGGGGCGTGTCAGATAAATATTCGATAAGAGAGGCGATCCACGGGTCACGACGTTGTTCGGTGGCAATTGATTCAAGATTTAACGATGACAAGTACTGGAGGCACGTGTTTGCGCACGTTGGATCTGGTGGCAAAGGTGAGCGGGACAGGGCATCAGCGTCAGAGTGTTTGCGTCCGCAGCGGTATACGACGCGAATGTCGTACTCCTGGATGCGGAGTGCCCATCGCGCAAGGCGGCCAGAAGGGTCTTTCAATGTGGAGAGCCAGCAAAGCGCGTGGTGATCAGTTACTAGATCGAACGGGCGGCCGTATAAGTACGGCCGGAACTTTCCAAGCGCCCACACCAGAGCCAAACACTCTTTTTCTGTCACGCTGTAATTAGTTTCGGCTTTCGTCAGAGTGCGGCTAGCGTAGGCTACAACGTATTCTGAATAGCCGGGCTTTCGTTGAGCGAGGACCGCGCCTAGCCCGACGCCGCTGGCGTCGGTGTGCACTTCGGTAGGAGCCGTCGGGTCGAAGTGGCGAAGAATAGGTGGGGAAGTAAGCAGACGGCGCAGAGTAGCGAAGGCAACGTCACATGCAGGGGACCAGGAGGTGAGGTTCACGTCACCGCGAAGAAGCTGGGTTAACGGTGACATGATAGATGCAAAATTGCGAACAAAGCGCCGGAAATAGGAGCATAGGCCTACAAAACAAGTTCTTTCATGGTCGTCGGCTTGGGAAATTCTGTGACTGCTCGAAGTTTTGCTGGGTCTGGTAATACGCCGTGCTTGGACACGATGTGGCCTAGGATGACGAGCTCGCGTGCAGCGAAGCGGCATTTTTTTAGGTTAAGCTGCAGACCAGCGTTGGTCAGACAACTCAAAACGTGCCTGAGGCGAAGGAGGAGCGTAGGAAAGTCATGGGAAAAAACCACGACATCGTCGAGGTAACACAGGCACATATTCCATTTGAGGCCACGTAGCGTATTATCCATAAGACGTTCAAACGTGGCAGGCGCGTTACAAAGCCCAAAGGGCATGACGTTAAATTCATATAGTCCGTCTGGTGTAATAAATGCCGTTTTTTGGCGATCGGCTTCTGCCATTGGGACCTGCCAGTAGCCAGACCGCAAATCTAGCGACGAGAAAAATTCCGCTCCGTGAAGGGTGTCAATGGCGTCATCAATGCGCGGCAAAGGATAGACGTCCTTGCGGGTTATGTTATTCAAACGACGATAGTCCACGCAAAATCGGATAGATCCGTCTTTTTTACGCACCAGGACGACGGGAGACGCCCAGGGACTGTGAGATGGTCGAATGACGTCCCTACGAAGCATATCTTCGACTTGATCGTTGATGACGCGGCGCTCTTCAGCGGAGACACGGTATGGTCTTTGACGCAGTGGCTGGTGTAGGCCGGTGTCAACATGATGTTTGACTTGTGATGTGCGGCCCAGTTGAGGTTGCGACACATCGAACGAACTCCTGAACTCATGGAGAAGATCCAGCAGGTCGGCATGTTCGGTGGGAGTGAGAGTGTCGGCGATGGCGCTGGAAAACGTATCATTGGACGACTCCCCAAGTGCTGACAGTGCTTTTGGGTGGTCGCAGTAGTCGTCCGGGACATCAAAGAAAAACGAAGGGTCGAGATCTTGCACGCGGCCGAGACATTCCCCCGCAAGCAATGTGACAGGTGTGGAAAGCGGATTGCTTACGAACATGTTGCTTCTTCCGGCGGCAAGGTCAATTGTTGCGAAAGGCAGCGGCAAAGCTCGACGACATTTGAAGATATCAGAAGGCATAAAAAGAACTGTAGCGTCAGTGTAGGCGTTG